CAGTTCATGAGTTTTTTTTTTTTACAATACTATATACATCAGTGATCCTATCATTGCAAATGTGAAATATAGTTACACATTAATGAACATGTTATGACGTGAAGTTATTGTATGCTTATTCTTTGAATGTGGAAACAGTTTCTTTAATAAGATGTTGTAGGGGACTGGTTGACCTGGTAACTCATATTAGTATATACAGTTTTTTTTTTCCAGAAATCTATTCAGCAGAGGATTCTATAGCTGAATGTAGTTATGATACCTGAGAGCTGTCACATTGATAATGTTATCTCTGCCAGATGCAGAGCTCCTGCAATTCCTCAACAACTGGGAAATTAATTACTTAAGGTCTTTCGCTCACAATCTTATTTGCCACACGGTGAACAATGTCATGTACAGTTGCCATGATCATAATGGTCACGTAGGAATGAGCAGAGATTCGTCAGTGTCTGCCTTGTAAGTCTGTAGTCTGGTCTTTGATCACTAACTCCATCATAGAAAATGGATAGAACTGAGATGTGATGTTTGATGTGGCAATACTGCATGGCTGGTGGTCCAACCTAAAAAAATTGTAAAAAGATCTCAATAATGTCACATGCTTCATCATTTTGACCTCAAAACATGGAAGACATTTTTTATTTTTAAATGAATATAACTAACTAGGCTATATAACTTTAAATGTATATAACTCAAACTGATTCAAAATGATGGAGATCATGTTTTCCCCATGGAGTTTATGCATGTACAATTATGTAACATTTTTAAACAAAACTATGAAGTCTTTATTTTTACATTAAATGCTTATGAGTTACTTGTATTATTATTCTGACATTACACTTTACCGGTAAGTGCAGTGGCTCACAAGTAGAGAGCGCTATAGGACTGTTGACTTACAAGTTGTCGGCTGTATAAGAAAATCACTCGTCTCAGTTCTTCTCTGGAAGCTTCTTCATTTCATTTGTATTTCAATATCAACTGTATAATATCAAGAACAATGGAAGATACTATTTCGTGAAAGCATGACATAGTGAATGAACACTGCTGTAGTTTCATGAAAAATAAGCTGAGGTATAGTTTATAGACTAATGTTCCCATCCCATGCTTTTTCCTGCGAGTAATGACCACCTTTATCCAGAGTTGAGCTCCAACACACCTGCCTAGAAGTTTTCAGTGATCCTAATGACCTTAATTAGCTGGTTCGGGTGTGTTTAATTAGGACTGGATATGAAAAGATTGAACACCCCTGCCATTGTGCTTCTGTTTACAAACGTTAATTGCAGTGTTGATATTGTAGTGTTAATAGATTTTAGATAAATAGATTAAATGGATAGATTTTAATGATACTATAATCAATTATTTTTTTGTGTAGGGTAATTTAAAAGTGAATTAATTATATAGTATCATTCCTGAATGTGACTGTATGTATGAGAATTGAATTGACCTGATCTTGGGTGACTTAATGCTTTTGTTTTCAGATTTCAGAGAACCCAACGGAAAAGAGACGGCAGTCTGATGTAAGCCAGATTTTTAAAACTTGAACCATTGGACCACTTGTAGTCTGACATCAGACTCCTGAAACTATTTTTTTTTGAAAGGTTTTAGCGCTTTTGTAATTTTGTCCTGTTTGTCCCACTTTATTTTTTATTTTTTTACATTTTGACTGATCTTCTGTATCTTTTTGTCATCGATTGTGTTAAACTGTTTAACACTAGAGCCGCCAGAGGTCGCTGTATACCTAAAAGCGCCAGCGAGTAAATTTTACCCACGCACATGACAGCTGTTTCTGAATGGCTAAAGAACATATTATTTCACTGTATTATGCTACTGTCTTCACAAAGAAGTGTCTAGAATAATTAAATGATTATATCTAGACATCAACTATATTTTTGTCCTGTTGTTTTATGTTCATAATTGTTTTTGAATGCAAGCTACACTAGTCACTTTTCATAACGTTCAATATTAAGCTAAACAAGCCTGCACTGACAACGAGAATTAGAAGGAAGTAAATACATATTTAGGTGGTGTAACAGGCTATTATAATACAATGTCATTAATCAATATATTAAGATAACCTATGTTATTTAAATTACTAAAATAGCCTATAGACAATAATGAGCAATAATAATTCACCACATTGCACAGGATGATGCAATGACAAATTCAAGCTTCACCTAATTAATTATTAATTTGCTTAGTTATATCACTTATAATTTGAATTATACAAGAAGAACACCAATAAACTTCGGTTAATTAAAAAAAAAAAGGTTTTATTCATTAGCCACCTAATTAATTATTAATTTGTTTAGTTAGATCATTTATAATTTGAATTATATAAGAAGAGCACCAATAAACTTCGGGTAATCAAAAATAAAAAAGGTTTTATTCATTAGCCTACATCAGATCAGATTTTTTTATAAATAAAGATATAATAGATATTATATAAAAATATAATATAAAGAATAAATGGCAACACAGAAGCGAACAATAAACGATAGAAATGGCAAAACAAAAATTAAATAATTAATCCAAATTTTGAACAATTATGAGTAACATTAGGATAAAACGTCTAAATATATGATCGCTGTCAGATGCTGAGCCGACAGGACACTTTACTTATCTCCCCACCATCAGACTCTCCATCGCTCATGGTATTTAGTGCTTCTTATACCTCTTCAGCATTCATAAATCGCCTTCTTTTACTCATTTTGTCTTTATTTATTAAACTGATAACCGCTAATTCAGTGAGTGAAAGGCGTTGCCTAGCAATGTACTATGTTAAAACATAAGCAGCACAAAAATGACAGCGCGAGCATACAGGACCCGCGCTGGCGCTTATAAGTATAAATGCCCCGTTTTTTGATCTGGTTTTATCTAAACAGTT